TATTATTATTATTATTATTATTATTATTATTATTATTATTATTATTATTATTATTATTTATTAGGTAGCTTGGAGAATAAGTTAAGAATTTAATATTATTATTTAATATTTAGTAAGAGATTTTGTCTTGTTGGACAAGTTAAGAATATGATTTAGGAGGCTTATTTAAAAAACTCCTCATCTATTGTTTTACATAGTTGTTAATAAAATAAATACTGATAACATATTTAGGTGTTCTTGAATTGCGGTCTCATTAATATCGTTCCACTCGTTTGCTTCCTACATCAGGATGTCAACCAAAACTTAGATCAACTTGTGGAAGTCAATGTCCATTCTTCTTCAATAGGGGGGAGAATTGTGCAAAGGAGAATGAAAATCTCTGTTAGGAAGAACATGTTACATGAATAATACTGAAGAGCATAACGAAGTCGTAGTGGTGGATAGTTCTATGTCTGTTTCTGAAGGGGTAGATATCATTAAGAAGTGTAGTAAAAGAGCTCTAGAAGAGTGTCAGGAAGTAGAACTAGATATATAAGGGGATAGAAGAAAATGTATCTCAAAAACTAAAATCTTCAAGTCAAAATCATTTTCTGAAGCGGAGGAAACCAACACTAATTGGTCCCAAAGTTTCCAAGACAAATTATGTGTGTGGAATTGTGGAAGTTCGGGAGAGAGTCTCTACAATTTTACAGTTCAAATATACTTAAACTCACCTCCCATGTTTTGCGTTCCTCTCTGAGGTCAAGAAAAAAGAAATGTTTGTAAGATCTGTGTAAAAAACTCAAGCTAGAGGACCGGTGGCTTTATATTAAGCATGTAGGCTCTAAAGAGGTATGTTTTTGTGTTGGTCTAGCAATATAACTATTTTGGATGCAGTCTTCCTCGGTTTCTATATAGAGGTTAAGTATACCTTTAAGGATTGTGGTGATGTTCAATGAGGAATATTTTTGTAAGCTTGTAATTATGCTGAGATTAGGGCAATCCAGTGGAATACCTTGATTAGGCACAATATTATGTTGAGTACAGTTTGGTTCTCAGGTGAGAATTTTAATGATATTCTTTTAAATCAGAACAAAAGAGAGAGTAGACAGAAAGATCCACATAGTTTTAGGAACTTCAAAATATTGTTTAAAATTTTATTGAATAGATGTATCAGAAAGAATTCGCCTTGCTAGTTGCAAGTCGCAACTCAAGGTTATATTATGACCTAGGTCGTCTCATTTTTGTGATTATTATTATTATTATTATTATTATTATTATTATTATTATTATTATTATTATTATTATTATTATTATTATTATTATTATTATGCTAGTGACCCATTGAGTTAGGTCACCGATAAAACCCAAGCCTTAAAACCAGTGTTTTAAATACGGTATCGGTGGCTAGAATCGGTGGCCATACCGGTCTAGCCATCGGTACGGGTATTATCAGTCGGACCGGTGACATCGGCGGTATTACCGAATTAGCAAATATAATGCTATATATAAATATACATAAAAATATATAATGCCAAATGCAAAAGAGAAAATATAAATAACCATAATCATTAATTTTAACTTCTCAATAAGATCAAAATAAAATATTTTAACTACATTTAAATTTTATCATTTTAAATTAAAAAAAAATATATATATTTTTTTTAATTTTTTTTATTGGCCGGTATTCTAGATCGGTATTTTGCAGTTTTTACGGTATGATCCCTGTACAAACCGCTATAACCGTAAATCCGGTATTTTGAGTATAATTGTACCGTACCAATGGCCGGTATCCGGTATTACCAGTCGGTATGATACGATATTTAAAACATTGCTTAAAACCCCCGACAATATTGAAATTTAGATTAAATCAATACACCGCCGAAGAAATGGTTCAATACCGGATGAAGGCCTTTTGACTAATTGAATGTACAAGTACAAAAGGATGGCCACCTACATACTATATTTACACACATTTAACCAGCAAGAAAGCCATAGAAAAATATAGTTGGTCAGCCCTCAATACCAAAACACTTTCTAGGGTGGTGCATATGTCGATCCCTGCCGCTGGCCGTCCCCTAAGATTTTCAGAAGTTAATTTATTAGAAAAGTTGACAGAGGAAAGATATCACAATCCTTTTTTTCTTTTTTTTTTTTTTTCTCTTTCTTTTTTCCTTCACTAATTGCACAATGCCAACCCAAAAGATATCTGCAAGGCAAACTTCAGAAGAAGCACAATTACGACATATGCAAACGCCATCATCAGGGTACACTCCTTTCAGCATTACAAATATTGAAGTAAACAAACAATAATTTTCATAAGAGCAAAAGTTACACTCATTTTACCTCTCTTTATCTACACCCAGCGCCAGGTCACTTCATGTTCGACAGGAACATAGGAGTCAATGGAGGAGATGGACCAGCTTCCTCCACCCTCCTCCTCCCGCCCTGAGAAGATTCCAACAGCTTGCCAGAATGGAAAGCTCTCGTCCTCTCACTACTCGAGGGTATCGAGAAGCTTCTAGAAACAGTTAGCTGCGGACGCGGAAGTGGGGATCCCGCACGGCGTGCGCCCCTGGCGGGACCCAGCGCATCAGGCGGCCTGGGTAGCTCGTGAAGCTCACTTATTTTCGGAGAGGACACAAGCGGAGGTGAGGCCTTGTGAGACACATTCAGAGACAACGAGGCCCGGCTGTGCGACATGGAAGCAGCTTCACCAGCAGGTAAAAGTACAAGTGGCTTGCCGGATGAAGAAGCTTTGCTGACTATTGGGCCTGAGAAAGCCTGCCTCTTGACCTTCTGACCCTCGGATAATACGGGATGCATTTCCGGCTGTTGGGTGGGATTAGGATTTTCGGCTAGAGGACGAGGTAATGGGAGAAAATGCTTCTTGTGATTGATATTCTCGGCGGTGGGTAAATAATCGTCCGCAGATTTCTTCTGCTTCTCATTGTCCAGTGGGGATGAGTGCCATGGGTTTCTGGAGGACCCTCCACCGGGTGCTGGGGTAAAATTTGAACCAATTGTTATTGAACCCTTTGCATCATCTGGGGTGGGCAGCACATGTCTGCTGCTAAATTTCTGCATGGATGCTCTCATTTCCCTTATTCTTTCTGCTGGGTCAAATTTCTCAGCATATAATGGAGCAGAATGACTGCCTGCTCTATGTTGGTTTCTGGAGGCATAAATTTGAGACTCGGCATTTTTGATTTGTGGAATTTGTTGACTTGGACCAGCCGATGGGTCCAACTGCAAATGAAATGAAATCAAGCGAACGTAAAGGAATCTTTTGTACAGCACAATGAATGAGAATTGAGAATTGAATAAAACTCCAACAAAAAGGTTCACCTCCATGGAGTTCCTCATTCCTCTAGTATTATCCAAGTCCTTTCTGCTCTGACCGTATTCAAAACACAATTCTCCATCTTCGTTAGCCTCGAAACTGTTATCATCGCCAACTTCTTCACCATCGTTTGACTCGGAAAGCTCGTAGTCAATGTGCTGCTTCTCTGCAGCATTTCTAATATGTGGTTCAACTGCTTCAAGAGAATGGAGCCCTTTCCGGAAGAAGTTCAGCTGTTTTTTTCCAGGAAAAGAGAAGAATAATCATGAAAGTCAGAAAGACTGGGAAAAGGATTACAACCATGAGACCACTTCAATACAATAACCAACCTGCGCCGCATGGTGACGGGCCGCCTGTGTTAGAAGACTCCGGCATTGTCCTTGCTTCAATGATGCTACACGGAAAACGCAGAGTCTTGCAGCCTCATCGTACTCTTCACGTACTGCATGTAGCTGCTCTGAGGTAACTGTCTCCCCTTTTCCATGTCTAGACTTCCCTTTCTCTTTAATCTGTCCCACCATGTACTCAAACATCTCTCTGCAATTCATGCATCACATTAAATTTGATAACACAATGAAGAATTTATCAAGTTAGAAGTGGGAAAAAAAGGAACATACTTCTTCTCATCACATTGCAATTTCATCTCCTGCAACAGTGAAAAGAAAACTTATAATTACAAGAAATCAAACAAAACAGTGAACCTAAGCGAGGTACTTTACAAAATTGTACTTGAAACTTCACAAATGGATCACAATAAGGCACCAGAAGAGAGTTACTTCACAAAATTGTACTTGAAACCTTGCCCACATGATTACCAGCATCAAGTACATACGTGTTTAGATCGAAGATTTGATTTGATCATAATATCATGAGCACAAGATCATCAAATTATTTATTAAAACAGTTTCAAAGATTTATGATACATCTTTGAGAACTCAACATTTACTTCTACATCCAAATCTATTTATACTACGTTGAACAACATGAATCTATGCCAAACCTATTTGAATAGTTTCAGAAGCAAACAAACATCATGTCACTCTCAAGCTCAATCATTGATTATTTATAAAGTTACAGGTTAGCAAGGCCCATTGATGTGGCTAATAAATAAACAAACTTCATGTCAGTGAACTTCATTTCATCATGCAGATATACAAGGTTGTGGATAATGTGAAATTTAAAAGATGATATGTACCACCATAACACGTCTTAAACGTGTAGAATGGAACGATTTGGGTAAGGTCCGGATTGTTACTCGCAAAAAAAAAAAAATAAAAAAAATGTATATGATATTGTGTTTCAACCTCCACTTTCCGCAGCTCGCTTAAGAGAGACTCTGATGGATGCGTAATTGTCTTGATAATTTGAGACCTCTGAAATGCAGAAGATGTAAAGTTGCCATCAAGTTTTCTGATATATCAAAGTAAATACTAATGATTCTCAAGAAAATGAACACTAACATAGCTGTCAACAAGTGTTTGAAGCTCAAGCTGCACTCTTCCCAGCAAAGACAATGTACCCCCTGCAGATTGATTAAAAAGTATTTTAGAAATTAACTTTTCTTCCTAGTCATTTTCATATCAAATAATGGACTCCACTCAGAAATTCTTACACTTAATTCTCTTCAGAGATCTATTATCTAATATATAAATTCATAATCGAGATAAACATCAGGCCTTGTCTGTTTCAAATCATCAGAAGATTGACTCTGGCTCACAGAAAAATTGACGGGATAACAATTAAGAGGTTTCATTTGGTTAGATTAAGAAAACCCTATAAAAGAAAATAAATAAATGTAGCATTCAACCGATACAAATGTATTGCTATCACTCAAAGTTCAATCAATAATCAACTTGCACGTATGCATAGAGGAACTGGCTCGCTCACCACTTTCTCCATCAGCATGCACTGCAGTTTTCTCCAATAAACAATTACCCATCTCCAGCAGTGACTCCGAGAACTCTAAAATGAAAAATTAATATCTTGTTAACATAAAGTTTAAGCACATAAACAAAGTGTTCACAAAGATAAGCAAAAATCATATCACTATAAAGTACATGCTCTCATATGATGGATTTATTACTGTAAGAAACAATTCGCTAGATACCTTAAACCACTAAGACTTCTTCTAAGTTTCCAAGTTCCACTTGCCAACTTTTCAAACAGATGAGAAATAGAGGTCATATTTGTAACATGTCAGGATATTTTCATACCTATGCACGCATATTATTGCAACAGTACCACAATCTCTCCACTCATTTCTTTGAGGAAGTCAACACACCCCTGTTTTATTTCTTTTTTATTTCTTTTTTTTTTATTTTATATATTTCAATTGCTAATACAAATGAACACTATGTAAAAAGGCTAAGATATATGGTGGAAGGTAATGTCAGTCAAAGACTATAAAATGATCCCATACAGAACATCAAAATCTTTTTCAACAGGATTGTTCATTAAAATGAACATGAAACATAACCACTTAAATAATTCAAACCCGTTGTATCACATAACATAATAAACTTACAAAATATAGTTAGTTTACTAAGTCATCTCAAGCTAAAACTTCATGGCAATTTTCACCATTCATGTTGGGCGCCTCCTCCTCTACCTTCCATTTTTTCCTACTCTCAGCCTTTGCCATTTTCTCATAACTTAGGTGCCTTCCAACCCCTTTTTACATTCTTTCAAAAATACTTGACAAGTGTAGTATCAGGTCTTGTAAAGAAAAAAAGTCACGCTACAAGCTTGAAACATAAATAGAGGCATCATGAACTTAGGTGAGAAAAGACTAAAAGCATACAGTGGGAGCTGTTCTATGAATTAACTTTAAGCCATACACATCTAAGGTTCTTGAACTTCCAATAATGTGAGCTTAAAAGCTCCAAAACTTAATAAATACGAAGCAAGGCATCGGATATTTAACTCAGAGAAGGTTAACTGTAAACCATCACAGCAACATAAGTGTGAACATGTCCTCCAATGTACAATGACTATACTAAAATGTATAACTCCCAAGTAACATATTGGTTATGGAAAAAATACCATAAGCACTATTCGCTGTTGCAGCAGCCGCAGAAAGCAATCCATCATAGCATGTTCTCATGTCTTTCATATCCTGCAAATACAATGCAACAATCAAAACATAAGACAAACATCCTGCAGAAGAAAAGAATCGAAGGCAAAAAAAAATTATTATGACCCGTCCAATTAGCAGTGTCTAATAAGCATCAACCTGAAAGAGAAGATCAGAAATAAAACAGTAAGACATCATAACAATTTTGCTGGTTCACAATAACCTACTAATGTGTAATTAACACTGACCAAACTGAGCCCAGTAACCTCAATAATCTATGAATGTTCGGCAAAATCGGATATTTCGAATGTATTTCGAATATTTCTAGTCGAATGCCCATATCTATAAACCAGAAGAACGATTAGAGAGTAGTTATTCCTTATATAATCACCCAACTCAATGGACGGCCAATCAGCACTGACTCTAAGCTGATGATGCACCACATCTCCATGAAATTGACCTAGGACCCTCAAGAACTAGGAAAAAAAAAAAGTAAAAATAAACACAGTAATCGGACAAGCGCGCGCACCTTTGCTGCCTGAGTCAACCCATCGATATGCACCGAGATACGGTGATCCCAATTTTCTTCCACCACGCTCTTATTCAGCCCCAATTTTTTCAGCTTACCCAGAGGTGATTTCATGCTCGAGCTACTATTAACTCGCCGACGAGAGATTGTAACTCCTCTCACGGTTGGAACTAACAGGTCGAGATCCTTGTGTTTCCCAAAATCAAAGATCAACTGAAGAGTGAACAGTGAAAATGGAGGAGAAAAATACGAGTAATGCTTGGGCATACGTCAATATGTCAATATGTCAATCGTTTATGTGCTGTGGGCATATGCACACATTGGTTAATATGTGATATGAATATATTAACATCACTAATACATGGATGCCACATAAGTTTGTGGGTATATTAACACACCGTGGATAAGGAGCATTATTACAATTTGGAGAGAGGAAAGAGAAGAAATTCTAACGTTATTCGCCGAAATTGGAAAAGGGCACTTGTTGCTTGTCACAGACTTCATATTAGCGACTGACCGACCTCTCGTATTCAATGTCCTTTTGCGTAATTAGATTGGTCCAAGAGTGAAGTATCCTCTCTTGTTGCCCTCTCTTCAGTGCTGTTCAGTGATAACTCAAGTCGCGTAGTCTAGAGTTCGTACTATCATAAAAGCTTGCAATGCTTTGGCTACCATGTACAAATTGCATGCTTGTTTATAATTTTTTTTAATTGGTTTTTTGGTGCTTCCTCGGGAGGCATCGACACCGGGGAAGAGAAGGTTCTTCTCTAATGATCTAAGTCAAGCTCCGCCGTAGTCGTTTTAACGAAGCTTATGGTTTTTCTATTCGTTATATAGAATTAGAACTGGCACTATAGAAACTCCTCCCTCAAGGGGACTGGGATTGGTTCACAACCAAAACAAGGAGACAGAAATGATAACCCGATATCCATACCATATTAGGCTCAGCCTTTCTCTATACGGAGACTTATTGGCTGCTAGAGGAAAAGGAAGGGCCCGATTGCACACCAATTCTGTGGTGGACACGAGCATACCGCTCGAACTGGGATTTCTGGCCTATTCTATTTTGGTAGTTCGATCGTGGAATTTCTTTCTTTCTCTATTTCTGGATATGGGTGTGTGACTTGTTAGAATTGATTCTATTGATAGTACAAAGAATAGGTCTGTCACCTTCATAGAGATGGTTAAGTTTACAAATATTGGTTGGGTTAGATTCGGGTGAGATTTTAAATTTATATAAAGTTAATATTTAAAATAAGTGATTAAATTGATTTAGTGTAAAAGTAAGAAGGAGGTGATTGGAACTACGAGTAATTTAAAATATGTGAGTGAATGAATAGATAATTAAGGTTGATATAATATTTAGAGATAATTGATTAATATTATTTGATTATTTTTATAATATTATGAATAGTGGATTTGAGTTAGATTTGACTTGAGGTTGAATTTTTTTTGTTGGTATATTTATAAACAAAACATGGAATGATCAAAATATAGAGTGAGACGGATGAGAATGTTGAGATGGATGTGTGGTCATACAAGGTTAGATAAGAATAGAAAGAAAGTACCAGCAACAACTGGAGGTTCGAGCTCACATGGAGGAGAAACCTTGGTGAAGGTCGTAGCTGCAGAACTAGTGTAACACCCCACTTTGATTTTACAGAAATTTCAAATTTTCCAAAAACCAGAATAAAATTTTCAAAATCATTTTCGAAAACTTAGTGGGTGTTAACCAGTGTTCGCCTAAACGGCCGTTTAGACCGTTTACACGCTGTTTAAACGGTAAA